CACACGCCATGGCATTAAATTAATAAACATTACTATAATATAGGTGTTTGCTTCCCTTAAATTAGGTCTTGATCCAAGCTGGTGAATGTCAGGGGGAACCAAGGTTCAAAATATCCTGGAATAAAGTGTCAAAGAGATTTGGAGCTGAACCAGTTTTGGAAGAGAAATCCTATGAATATCTAGAGGACATGCAGGGAGCTCTTTATTTGGCAGCTTCAGGTGTAAAGCCCGCTCCAAGGCTCAAAGGCTGATCAGGTATCATGGCCCCACTAGAAAGGCCAAGTCGCAAGGAGATTATTGACAGAAGAGCACAGTTGTCTCGATTTAAGTAAATTAATGGAAACCTTTTCGCCCCTCAACGTTATATGATCACAATTATTTCCAGAATTGCAATAACAATGGGGTAAATTAATTAGCCTGTGCATATCATTGATATAGGTGTCATTGAAGGAAATGTTTATAATTTTCTTTTTTAATATAAATCCTCTATTAAGGTTCCTTTTCCTTCAAACAATAGTAACTTGCAAGCTTCCAGAAGAGGGCTACATTTACCATAAAAGGATAGTGTTTTCAAGAATATGACACTTTATCGATCAAATCGTCCAAAAAATTAAGTCGCAATCTGATAATATACTTACTTCAAACATCACAATTACAAATTGTACAACAGTTTTAACAATATTATAGTCCTTGTACTTAGACTCTCAGTCTAGACTGAAAAAACTGGACATGAAAAGAAAGAGTTTACAGATATTTTGTTGAATTTGTTTGGAGATTGTGAAGTGGAATAATTGAAATTTTCACACCAGGCTCATTTATTCACTGCAATGTAGAGTGAATACATAATACCAGTTGGAGATCTTCTTTAACTACTACATGTACTTTACTAGTCAAGGAAATAATAATAATAATAATAATAATAATAATAATAATAATAATAATAAAATACACACATATATTTAAACATCAAGATTGTGATTGTGCGGGAAATTCAGCTCTAATTTTCTTGACTGCACAAGATGGTATTGCACGCCGAATGCTCTTTCCAAGGTAGCCATGGACCCACCAGCTAAACTTTCTGTATGCAGCATATCTCAATGACCCACGCAAAAAAGAAAAAAATCAAGTGGATAAATATGAGGAGAATAGAATTCAGTATATTTAGTATGTTCCAAAATTTAACACAATAGCCCTATAAAACTTCTAGATGGAAGGTGGCAAGATTTTGTTCACAACTGTTCAATTTGCCCATAAAGTTTCTGTTGTTAGAAAACAATCTAGGAAGTCTACTTTAATTAGTATTCTGTTAGAATATATATATATTTTTGAGTAAAATTGAGACTTAATCCATTTAAAAACAACATTAAGACTGCCAAGTGCATATTTAAAAGAGGCCAAGGAAAAAAGAGATTTTGGCACAATAAGTGGAGTTGTCTGAAAAACTCAAGCACAGTTCAAGCGTATCTGTTGGACACTTGCTGCCTGTCAGGAAGACCAGCACTCTCTCGATCATGGAGACTAACCAGCGCTGTCCACAAAACATCCCTGTTGAGGCACACAGACTGAAAACCTTCGTGCTTGGTAATGCAAGACAAACCTGCAAAGAAAATCCCTCGTCAACTCTTTTGTTCAGCTCTTCTGATCATTCAGACGACTCATGAGAGGTAAGGCTTCCAAAACGAAAAAAAAATCAGGAAATGATAAAAAAAAAGCACACGTTTCAAGTTTAAGCTTAATAGTGGACAACTGGTAAACGTAAAGAGTTGTTTCTGAACAGTAAGGAATCAGCTGGCAAGACTCTTCATCGAAAAAGCAACAAAAGCAAAGCAAGGTGAAAGTAAAGTTAATGTTTTTGATTCACACTATACCTTCAACCATTTTCGACAAAAACGCCGGCTCTTTACA